TCTATAATATGGAGGAGCCTTGAAAACATTTTGCCAAATAAAAGAATCCAGACACAAAAGAACAAACATTATATGAGTCCACCTATATGAGCCAACTAGAATAGTCAAATTTATACAGATAGAAAGTAGAATAGAGCTGGGGATTTAGCTCAGTGGTTCCACCACCTGCCTCACAAGTGCAAGGACCCCCAGTACCAAAAGAAAGAAAGTAGAATAGTGGTTACCAGGGGCTGGGAGAAGGAAAAGAAAAATACAGTGGAAGCTAATGGGTATGGAGTTTCTTTTGTGGGTAATAAAACTACTTTAAAAGGGTGAATTTTGCTGGGTGTGGTGGTGCATGCCTGTAATCTCAGAACTTGGGGGCTAAAGGCAGAAAGACTACTGAAAGTTCAAGGCCAGTCTGACCTACATCGTGAGATCAAGGCCAACCTGGAATATACAGTGAGACTTCGTCTAAAAAAAAAGAAAGAAAAAAAGGGTGAATTTTATGGTATGTGAACTACAGATTAAATATCCTTTATCAATGGTTGGGGCCAGAAGTGTTTCATATTTTGAGTTTTTTCTTCAGATTTGGGAATATTTGCATAAACATTTGATACCTTGGGGATAGGACCCATCTACTTTTTTTTTTAATACCAGGATTGAACCCAAGGCTTCATACATGGAAGGGAAGCACTCTACCACTGAGCTACATCCCCAGCCTCTCAGGGAAAAAGCCTAAACATTAAATTCACTTATGTTTTATATACTCTTTATTCATACATTCTGGAAGTAATTTTATCCAATATTCAATACTTTTGATGTACCTGTGTTTTGACTGCAATCCATCAAATAAGATCAGATGTGGAACTTTCCACTTTGCTGCCATCATGTTGGTACTCAAAACTTTTCAGATTTTAGAACATCTCTAATTTTGGATATTCAGATTAGGGATGCTCAATCTGTGTATATCAACTTAAGGTGAGAATTATATAATTTCTACCACTTGTCATCAATATGAAAATTAAGTTTGGTTTAACTCTGAGTCCTTTCTCACTAATACTTATGTTACATTAGAATCTAAGCATGTGTTTAATAAAATTTTTACATTTGATCTTAGCAAAAGGCCATGAAATGATGTGTTTAATAAAATTTTGTATTCAGTTTTAGTGAGCTTTAAAAAGTGAACATTATAGGCCGAGGATTTAGCTCAGTGGTTCTGCTGTCTGCCTCACAAGCATAAGGTCCTAAGTTCAATCCCTGGTTCCAAAAAAAAAAAAAGTGAGTATTACTATTTGATATCTTTCATTTTAATCAGCAAAACACAGATTAATGATACTGCCTAAGAATTAGTTATATGTATATTTTAGTTGTTAAAGCAAGAAAGTTCACTAAGGCAATTATTCAGTTTAATTCAGGACCAGGTTCAGTTTGGTTTCAAAACAAGTAACAAGTTTGAGTCAGGGATATAGCTCAGTGGCACAGCGCCTGGCAAGTGCAAGTCCTTACTTCAATCCCCGATACCAAAAATTAATAAGTAAATTTTTAAAAAATAAAAACAAATTCACATAGGCCAATTCCATTGAATATGCATTTTTGGTTTCAGTTGAAACATAAGTGCTGTCAAGAAATACAAAGACTTTGGGACAATCTAAAGTCAATTTAATTTCAATGCCTAAATTAAAAATCACAGTAAAAAATCCTATTATTTGTACCTTTTTTATTTTTAAAATAACATTTGGTTCCCCCGTTATATAAACAACTCCATACACAATCCTTATGGTTTTAAAAAAAAAAACTATTACACACAGGAAAGCATAATGGAACCAAAAAAAATCACCTTTAGCCTAACACTCAAAGATAACTATTATTAAAATTCTGGATCATGCCCCACGAGGAATTTTTACACATCAATAATATATCCATGGTATAAATCACATACAATTGTTTATAAAATTTTGATCATAATATATAGCATTTCAGCTTTTTTGCATTTAAGCAAGTATCTCAGATACTTTCTTGTGGCATATCTTTAATATTGTAATTTTTATAGCTTCATAGCATTTCATTTTGTTGTTTTAAAATATTATAATTATGAGCATCTTTGTATGCACCAATGACTACCTCCATAGGGCTTATTTGTAAAAAGTGAATTTCAGTGCCTATGACACATTCCTCATTGCTAAAAAACAAATGAAGCAGAAAAATGCAAATGAAAGAATTTTAGAGGAATCAAAGGAAAGGTGATAATTACCTGATAAGGTAGCATCAAATCCCATGTCTTCTATTGCTTCTTTCAAGTTTTCTGGAGTAGTCAGTAAAGGATCATACTCAATAGTCCCATTGCTATTTTCGAGAGACACACGTATTGATTTTACACCTGTCTTTTTTGATATGACACCCTCAATAGACTGCACACAAGAATTACAAGTCATGCCATCAATGTTTATCACGGTTTCTTGAGTCAGAGGCTGGGCGACTATGTTCAAAGGAATCTTTTGAAGAGATGAGCTGGACAGAGAGTTGGAGATACTCTCAACTTCACTTGCAATACTAACTGTATATTTCTCTGGAGAAACAGCCTCTATTGCTTTTCTCAGTGTTTCTGGAGTGGTTGAACTTGCACGGTACTTTACAATGGCAGTTCTATTCTCTAAAGAAATTATTATGCTGCTTACATACTGGAGTGTAGATAAAGCACTTTCAATATTTGATACACATGATTTACAATGCATGCCATCTATGATAAAAATGGCTGTTAAATCATTGGTATATGATGGACTCCTTTGCTGTGATCCTTCTGGAGATTTGACTGGTATATTTTTCAGACGCTCTACATTAACAGCTCCCAATTTGAGGTGCTTAGGCTGTTTTTTGACATATGCTGGAAACCCCACAACTTCAATCTGCTTCTTTATTTCCTCTACTGTGATAAGATGAGGTTGATAAATAATAGTAGCTTCTTGGTTGTCCAAGGAGACTAGTTAATAAAAAAGAAACATTTTTAATTCAGTTATTCTCAGGTTACTTCAGAATCAATAATTATTTATCTCTCATTCTTCTCATCTTTTCTTAAAATAACCTTATCCTTTTCAGAAAATATGATTGACATAGATTAGAAACAAAAGTTATGACCATTGCTGCTATGGTCTCCAAGTTTCTGAATGCCTAAATAGAAATATATTAGAAGTTAAGAGTTCACCAGGAATATTGTATTAAGAACCTTGAACTCCATAAATCACTACATGGCTGCCTTTTCTGCTAAACTAAATATCAAGACTCATGGAATCTTTAATTGTAATCACTAACTTTACCATCATTAATCCTAAGAATATGCTATGCCTCAAACTTCAGTGAAACAGTAAACATTCTAGTCCCATGGTTTCTAAACTCACACTTAGGAAGAAAGCAGAACATTAAAAAGATCAAAACAGGAAACTAAGTCTTACAAAACAAACACAGTGACACCAAATAAACTGATTACCTTTAATTCGCTGAACACCTTGCAGTTTCCCAATTTTTCCTTCAATGGTGCTAGCGCATGAATGGCAAGTCATCCCTTCTACTTTCATCTTCAGCATGACTTCGCTTGCTTGAGCCATACTGTGATCTTCACAAGTTCCTGAGTTTTTCTCCAGAGTTCCAATATCTAAACTGAGGTCTGGAACCAGCTCTATTATCTGACTAGCACTCACTATAGAAGGGATTATTGTCACTACTACAGTTCTTTGCTGAGGGGAAATTTTAATGTCTGTCACACCCCTAGTCTTCAGCAATGTACTTTGGATATGGTCCCATGGCAAAGCCAGTGAAGTAGTAACAGTCAAAAATACAGTATCAGTTAAAACAGGAAGAGGACTAGGATTATGGAGAACAGCATCAAAGCCCATGTCATCAATAGCTTCCTGTAGGGTCTTTGGAGTCTGTAGTTTGGAGTCATAAATAATGGTTGCATGTTTTTCTTCCAGTGAAACCTTTAGGAAGAAAATTTCATAAGTCAGTTTAAACTATATGACACAAGACTTTAAAATATCAATCCCAGTACCACATTAAAGAATAATGAAATAACTCTAATAGACTTCCTCTATTAATTTTCATTTTTACTATTCTCACTGGAAAAAAAATCACAAAATGTTTTGTCTACCTGGGAGAAAAGTAAAACAATACAAAAATTATGTGACTGTGGTACCAATTGGGCCTTTAAAACATACATGGACAAACACACCCTACAATTTCACAGCTGTGTATAAATTATTCTTTTCTACCATCTCCTTTCATAAATTGTTTTAATAGTTCACATTCTACCAGTCCAAAAGGTTACATAATAGGAATAAGATTATCTATAGAAAATAAAAGGTAAGATAAAGTTTACTCTTTAAAAAATGTTCAATTCAGTTCCCAAAGCCCTGCATGTGGACTTCTCTTGAGAATTCAAGCAGGTTTTCAATAGGATGGCCTAGACCTGACATCATGCAGGATCCCAGCACTGCCTCTCAGGATCTGGATGTACAAGTTCTTGTGGGTTTTCTCAAGATTTGGACAGTATAAAAAGATAGAAATGCTAAGAAGAGTTACTATTGTAACTGCTTCCTCCAGGGTGTTCTTTTATCTTGCTTTTTCCTCTTTTACGCAGCCAAAGTTCACTCTGCAGAGCCAGTTTCTCACTCATCACTTTCACCTTTCCAAATAAGTAAATAAATAAATAATTATGTTCAATTAAGATAATTGCTGGCAAGATAAGGCATAAATATGGCAACTTATCAATGAAGGCAGTATTCATAGATTTTCATAGCATAAACTTCTATACTCCTAGGTACTACAGCATAATTTTTTTGTTGTTTTTTGAGATAGGGTTTTACTTCATAGTTCAGGCTGGCCCTGAACTCACTGTTTACCCCAGGCTTTCCTCAAACTCAGCGATAATTCTTCTGCCTCAGCCTCCCAAGTGCTAGTATTTTAGTTGGTACCACCACACCTGGCTCATAATATTAATTTTGTTCAAAACTAGAACAGTTTTATTGATCCTTTTGTGTTTCATAAGCATGACAACTGGGGTTTTGTAATACTGTGCAAGGTGTGTCTTGTTCAAACCTTGTTATGATAAGCACATTACCCACCTGATACGAAAAACAGGAACATCTTTAGTATTTTGTATGATTATATTCTTAAAGTTCAACTACTGTACATATTTTTTAAAATTTTGAAACGGGTCTCACTAAGTCACTAAGTTGCCCAATCTGAGATCAAGTTTGCAATCTTTTTGCCTCAGTCTCACAGAGTACTAGGATTACATGCATGTACCATCACACTGAGCTAACTGTATATAATTTAACCAACACCATGCCTGCATCTCTTTGACTGATATTTTACATAGATTTATGATGAACACACACACACACAATTTGAGGTTGAGAGTCTGAAGTTTTGAGTTCCTACTACCATTCTCCACATACTGGCCAACCACAATCATTAATTCTATCATCTGAAAAATGGAAAAACATGCCCTATTATCTTCTAGGGTTTTTATAAGTATTGTATAAGTAAAAAAGATATTTCTTTGTAGCAGCAATGAATTAATAAAGGTAAACAACAAACAACTTATTTTAATCAAGCAATTATGTCTGCCAGGAAATGAGACTCTCAGGATACAAAGTTGAACATGGCATATTCATAGGGAGCAATATTGGAACAGATAACACAGAAAAAAATTACATCTATTTATCCCTGGGAATATGAGTCAGAAGAAGATTCTGAGGGGAATGAATACTGAGTGCTAAAGAACAAACAAGAATCAGCAAGGATGTACAAGTTAAGAAATTGCAGCTAACTGGAAGTACGAAAGTAGAGAAAGATGGAAGGCTGGAGAATTAGGCAACTGTTCCATTATAAGAGTTGTATGCCAATAATAGTTTATAATTTATCTCACAGGTAATCAAGAGCTACAGCAAAGTTAAATGGGAATGACATGATTAGATGTGCATTTTATGAAGAATCACTTCACAGGCAGCATGGAAGATAATGGGGTGGGGTGGAGTAATACAGAAGGAAGGAAGATCAAATAGGAGGCTATTTTCAATTGTAACAATTTAAATTGTACAAGAGAGGATCTGAATTAAGACATAAACACTGAGCATAGAAAGGAAATTTCAAGATACATTGGAAGGAGCTACTGACAAGATATAGAGGTTAAGGGAATTGACTAGAATAACTTACAGATTTCTAGCTTGAACCAGAGTGTAGAAAGTACTCTATTTATTTAGCTTATGAGTATGGAAGCTAGCCAGGGGAATGGGCTGCAACACAGTTGGGTAACCAGCCCTATTGATAAGAATTAAGAACATACACTGAGGGCTGGGGATTTACCTCAGTGGCTCCACACCTACCTTGCAAGTACAAGGACCTGAATTTGATCCCAGGTACACACACACACACACACACACACACACACACACACAAAACAGACTGAGCTAGAACTTTGGACCAAGAACAAACTTCCACAGGCAATGTAGCATGCTGCCCCTTCCCCACCTTAGGGAGTTAGAGCCACTCCCTACTAAGTTCCTGAGTTCTGAGGAACTTAAACATGCAAACTAACAAGTTTTTCTCTAAAACTAGTTTCCTTTAAACTCGACATGTTAAAGAGCTGGGTTAGAGGGTCAGAGTTCCAACTGGTAATTTTAAATCCACAGAGCCACCTGTGACAGGTGGCCACTAAAGAACAGAACAATTTCTGTGCTCTGGTTATCTGTAACTAGCTCTGGATTAGAGGACCCATGAGGCCACTCACATGGGATCCCTCCTAGAAATTCAGGAGTTCTTTATCTTTATTCTTATTTACAAACTCTTCTATCTGCCTCTTTTGGTTCATAACTTCATTCTTTGACATTTGCAGAACCACGAGCTCATTCCTTATGCTAACACATGGTCAGATGGTTATCAGACAGAAAGGAGGAAGTCAGGAGTGGTGGTGAACAACTATATTCTCAGGTAGTCTAAAGGTTAAGACAGGAAGATTGCCAGTTCAAGTCCAGCCTGGGCAATTTAGGCCATCTCAAAATAAAATGAAATGAAAAGGGGCTGAGGATATAGATCAGTGTTAGAGTGCTCGCCTAGCATGCAAGAGGTCCTGAATTAAAATCCCCAGGATAAGGAACAAAAATAAAGAGAAAAGAAAGGGGGCAGCGAGGGGTGGAAAGAAAGAAAAAGAGTGAGCAGGAAGGAGGAGAGGGGGAGGGGAAGGGAGAGGGATAGGAAGATAGAAAGAGAAAAAAACAAGGAAAGAAAGAGAGAAAAGGAGAGGAGAAAGAGAGAGGAAAAAAATGAAAGAAAGAAATTAGTTACTGCTGCCTGCCTTGCAAGCCCCGTGCTTGATCCCCGGTACCAAAAAAAAAAGAAAAAGAAGTTAGTTAAGAGGCTAGAAGAGGAAAGAAATTTGATAAATTCTAGTCAGTTTTTGAGACAGTAGAAGGTTAGTGTTCAAAGGCACTTAAAATATGAGTACAGTACTATTATTAATTCCTGTTGAAAAGCTTTGTTTAGTACAATAAAAACTTCCAAATATAATTAAATGTAATTTGGAGTGGGAAATCTCATTTTAAAATGTTTATGATACTTGTATAGTTAAATCCTTTGCTTATTTTATTGAACTTCATTTTTTTTCTTCCTTTGGCTTGGTAATTGATGACTAGATATCTGATGAAAATTTGAAATATATCTATAGCACAGAAAGTTTTTAATAATCATAATTCTAATTGAGTAGCTTATTCTTAATTATGGTAAATATCAATAGCAGGAATAGGAAAATAATTTTTCTTGCTTAGACCATGTAATATTTTCCATGAAAAAGCTATAGAATAGTCAAACAACTCATATATGAGCTTAAATTAGGGATACACAATCATACACACACACACACACACACACACACACACATAAGTAATTTTATGTTCATAGTTTTTCTGGAAGGAAATACATACGTAAAGGACAACTGGTTTCCTTGGAAGAAAGATTTTAATGTCTGCCTGTATTATCTTTTCAGTAATAAACTAGTTAATTTTAAGAGGAACAAGGGATGTATTTATTGAGCCACAAAATGATTTTAATAATTGCTAGCATCTACATGGTCATTGTTCAAAACGGAAGTCCACATTAAGATAATAGACTGCAGTGTTTATCTGCGTAAACAGGAAAAGCACTCAAAAAGTTAACAGTGCAGCTTCAGGGACAAAGTAATTTGTTAATAAGGCATTAATCTTTGGAGTCATTCAGTACTTATATCTAATTAAATCTATTTTTACATTTCCCCTTCAAAAAGGCCAAGCAATCCAGAGAAAGACCTTGACATTATCTTCTTATTTTATTTTTCCTTGAAACAGGCCACTGACTGATTAAATTAAACTTTAGGTTAATCCCTTTAAAGTCTACAGCCTTAATATTGGCAGAACAAATAAAAGAATTACGTCCATTTACATCACAGTTTTGACACAATCCCCAAAATGTATTTAAATGCTAAAGTTGCAAAGGGAAATAATCATCTTTTTTTTTGGTACCAGGAATCAAACTCAAGACCTCACACTTGCCAGGTAGACACTGTGCCACTGAGCTACATCTCTGGCCTTTTTGTGGGGGGGTTGAAACAGGGTCTTGCTATATAGTTCAAGCTGGCCTTCAGCTCACTAAGTCACCCAGGATGGCCCTGAACTTGCAGCAATCCTCCTGCCTCAATCTCCCAAGTGCTGGGATTACAAGTATGTGCCACCACACCCAGCTCTCATATTCTTTCCATTTATTTCAAAATTTGAGACTTTTTGCCAGAATGGTGGTGCATATCTATAATCCCAGAACATGGGAGTCTGAGGCAGGCAGATCACAGTAAAGTTTGAAGCCAGCCTAGAGTACACAGTGAATTCAAGGGCAGTCCAAACTGCATAGTAAGGATGCTGTCTCGAAAAAACAAAACAAAACAAAATTAGAAACTTATTGATTACTCTTCTTGGATTCCATTAGTGCTCTAATATGATCCACTGTTGTATTAATCGATAAGGCAATTTCACTCATTTTTATTTGTCATTTCCAGGACTAGAACCCAGGGCCTTCATACTGAGCTACTTCCCTAGCCACTTTTTAATTTTGATAAAGGTTCTTGCTAAGTCACTGAGTTGCCCAGGCTGGGCTTGAATTTGCTATCCTACTAAGCCTCCCAGAATGCTAACATTACAGGTGTGGACCATCATGCCAAATTTTTCGCTTAATTTCACAATTATACATTACTTCATTCCAAACACTACCAAGAGATCCTTTACATAGGAAAAAACTGTCCTGAAATCTGGTTTCTAAATCTACTAGTCTTAATTGTAACCTCAGAAAATATCTAGAAATTTTAAATCTTACTATTACTTAAAAAGTGGTCAATATTTATCTATTATCATTTGAATTGTATTCTGACAATAAATTATGCTTGGACAAAAACAATTTTCTATATGGTGCCTAGAAAGAGGCAAATTTACATTTTGTTTCCTCTGAAACAAAAATTTGAGGAGCTTTAAGAAAAAGAATATAAAACTACAAATAACTAAATTCTGTAACAAAATATTCTGAATGTGTAATAAATATTTAAAAGTTACAATTTTTTCTGGTACCAGGAATTGAACTCGGGACCTTGAGCTTTCCAGGTACATGCAGTGCCACTGAGCTACATCCCCAGCCCATAAGTTACAATTTTTAAAGAAAACAGGTACCACAAACATCCATAAAATAGCATCTTCTAAATATTGTCTGATTGATATAACTACTGTATTTTCTTTTCCTACTCTTTCGCTACATATTGTCTGATCTCATTGTCTAAAGTCATTTGACACTGAGTTCATAAAATCATTTTCTGTACCAAAAAATGAAAGATAATTCAATCTTTCCTCTAGATAAATGTTTTTATAAGTAAAAGTTTATAAAAGTTCCGTTCAACAACACAAATGGATATTGATAAATTTTTCAAACTCTTTTCAAATTTGGGGAAGCTACTGAGTTTTTCATAGGTAAGCTGTAAGACTTCAGGCCATTTCAAGCTCACTTGTACAGTGCCTAATCTTATATACTCTTTGAGTTGATAGCATTCATTTATTAATTT